TATGTATACATACAGCTCGGGGGATCATTGTATATATACAGCTCGGGGGATCATTGTATATATACAGCTCGGGGGATCATTGTATATATACAGCCCGGGGGATCATTGTAAACCTGTCGCCATAGAACACTAAGTTGTGGTAGAACATGAGCTTCAGGTATAAAATAATGAGTTGGATCTTGGACCTTCCAGAACTATAGGACACCCTCTGCCACATTATTAGGAAAGGACAATTGCATTCCTGATCTGTGTATAGCAAATGGGGGAACAAGATCTCTCAGAAACTGAAGAACGAGGCGTTACTATGTCCTAGAGCCTCCTGCAGTGACCATACCTGGAAGTAAGCCGTGTTCTCCTTGAGATGAGCTTCAATACAACAGCAAAGCTGCAGCATCCAACTCCACTGTGTCTGCAGAGCAGCCTGGAACGCCTGCAACAGACACAAAACATCCGGGTCAGAAAAGACACAAAATATCAGAAGAAAGAGAAAACTGGGAAACGTAGGGAACACTGAGAGCAGGGCTGCCTTGCTGCAAGTATACACAGGTCTAATGTAAGTCTATTAAGTCTTTACTGCACATTGCCAGTCAAAAGAAAAATCCAACACATTTCAGGGGCTCAAAGCTTCCCCTTCATCAGGGCTAAGAAGGTGTTTCTCAGCTCTGATGAAGGCCCCCCAAAAATGCATTAACTTTCACTTTTTGTTATGTGCAATAAAGACTCGGGCTTGCATCCGATCTTTGGCGATCTCATCCTTCAGACAGCTTCAGGGGCCGCTGAAGTTACTATGGTTGACAGAGCTGCCATTAAAATTTGGATTCCAAACCCCATCTTGCCCACCCATTGGGTCCAGCACTCTACTAACACGCCCTTTTGCTTCAGGTATAGCCCATGGAATTAATGACACCAGAAGGAGAAAGACACTCATATTAAATTTTGAGGGTAAGCTCCCCAGCTCTGTAACGGGTCGCAGAATGTTGTCTAGAGCCCAATCAATGCAGCTGTCACTTCTGAATGGAGGGATGAGTAAGAATAACCAGCATAGATACCAACCTCTATGGTGGACTTGCCAGGGTGGTCATCACGGAGGAGTCTGTCCCCGGTGTTCTGGATCTCCTTGATCTTCTTTTCCTTCAGTTCCAGCTCCCGCATCAGTCCCTGAAGAGCAGAACAGCCATGAGTGAGAAGTCATAGGTTAGGTCTGATGTACATCCTCCACTATCCCACATATGATCTGTTCTTAAAGTGCATCTCCTGTTTTGGTGGTAACTCACAATTTTGGTTTCCCACTCACTTTTAGTCCAGGACAGACAGACAGACAGACAGAGAGAGATAACTCCGTAATGGAGAGACAAACAACAGGGATACTAACCCCTCACCACTCTACCCAAATCTAGAATAAAGGTTTTGTCTTAAGATTTAAAAGGTCCTCCTACCACAAATCTGATATATACTCAACATTTATTGGCTTCCTATGCTCATAACTTCTTAGGATTCCTTACATGCCCTGTGCCTCAACCCTTGTAATAATTTAACGCCTCCTCATTGACCAAATTTGGTAGACCTGTTACCATGGTCCACAAAACTATGAGCAACTGATAGCATTCCACCATCTTTTGCAGAGCAGAACATGACTAAAATACAAACTATCCAACAAAACAAGAAACAGAACTCACAGAGTAGTTGTCCTTCTTGCTGGTCATGTTGGTGTTGCGGTCGCTCCAGTCAAAGTTCACTTCTTCCTCCTCCTTGTCGTTCAGCCACATCAGCTCTTTAGTGGCAGCAGCCACAAAGGTGTTGAGGCTCTCCAAGTTGCGGAGTCTGGCCTTGGAAGAGTTCTGGAATAAAAATAGAGAGGTATGAATAAAAACAACCACCACCTGATAATCATACCCCAGAATTAGACACTTCAGACCCCATCAGGCCAGCACAGAAGAGACTCTTACCAGCAGCTTGGCATACTGTAAGTCCAGTTTTCCCAGATAGTCCTGATAGGCTCCCCGAGAACCCGGAATCTGACCCTGAGAAGAGAAACAAGAGCTTGGTTAAAACTGCAATTTTTGGGACTGTTCAGCACTCTACCCTCAAGAATTGTGACGTTTACCTGGTGGTATGGTCGGGGTTATTTGGTGGTCGAGTATGTAAAGGCCGAGCTATTGCCACCCACCTTTGTAGGCGCACATTGTTTCTGGTGGTACCTGGTGGCATGGTCCATAAAGACCAAGCAGGTGGTTGGATACAATTTTAACATTGGTTCTGGGTTGTGCGGCTTGCCGTTTTATTCTACTCAATTAGCTTACAAATGAATCTTTAACACAAGAGACTCTCCGTCTCACTCTGCAGAGATTTCCAGCTTTCTGGACAACAACCTAAACACCAGCAGGCCATCTCTTGGGGCAGGTCAACTGAACAGTTAACCCTTCACATGTACACATGGAAGCTGCCACCACGTGTTAACATAAACACACGCTGCTCACATCATCGTTGACATGAGTCTGCCCTCAAAATAGTTTGCATCACTTGCTGCCGCACCCAGACCGGAATGTAACATGTTTGGCATTGGAGAAGCTTCTTTACAGAGGCTTTCAATTTCTAGTTAATGAAAAAGCTGATTTTTCTGAAATGCTTTTTAAAATATTGTTTAAAGTAGAGAAAAAAATGTCTTACACATGAATGTAACCCCTTTTTAGGAAGGTAACTCCACTGCAGTAGAAATTATGGCACATGTCTCAAAGTTGGCTCTGGAGAGTTCAACTAGGTCAATACAGGACTGCTGATCCTGGACAACACAGACGATGGGATTTTCTGCAATAGTCCTGTTTATCCCCGGTTACCTCCCACCTGTTCACCTGTTTGGTGATTGCGAGACAGCATGTGGGGCCAAAGATCCAGCCATCTTTGTGAACATGAAAATACCTCCAACCTCCCTGAGGAAGCACATACAGCTGCGAAACGCGTCGGAGATGGGGCCCACAGTGGATCATACAACTATTACAGAAATCAGGACTCAAGGAGTCCATGTTATACTAATGAATTATATATATATATATGTACACATGTATGGGCACCAAAAGGAGGTAGTTTGATTTCAATGTAACATTGTATCATGTCAATGACATTTTAATTGTAACCAAGTCTTTATGTATGTATTAAATATACGTTTATACAAAACCATGTATGTTTGGACACTTTTAAAGCCCCGCTTTTCTTTTCTTGTATACAATTCTAATTGGGGGTGTGGTGCCCATCCCTAATGGTTCAATTTAATTCCTATGCTTTAAACTAGGTCAATACAGGAGTTATTCCCGTTGACACAGATTGCGAATTCCTGGCAGAGGCTCCGACTCTTCTAAACTAAAAACACAAGTTTGGGTTGGCGTTCCACTTTGAATAGGATCTTGTAGTATTGGAGCAGAAGACACCTGAAACAGGACATATACCTCTTGTTTTAGGCTCTAAAAAGATTGTACGCAATGTCTCACGTCCATCAAGAGTAGAGCCATGTAAAACCTTCTTTTCATGGCAACCTGTAACTATGACTGTTCACTATATCTGCCCATCAATACATAAAAGGAATACATTCCCACAGAAAGGGACCCCTTGTGCCCTCGGTGACAGGTGCTCACCTCATCAGTCCGTGCTCGCTCTATCTTGGCCCGGAACTCGTTGATGGACTGGTGGAGGCCACGATGGCTTCCCAGTTGGGACTCCACACTGGGCAGGTCGGATCCCCATTCAGCCGTATTAATACGTTTCTGGTTCTCTTCTACCCAGGCCAGGAGATCCTGGAAGTAACGCAGGGTGACGTCCTTTTCGGAGGTCGTGGTGACGTGGGTAACTTGGGTGATGACCTGAGTTGCTCCAGACTTAATGCGAAGGTTGTACTCTGTGCGGATGGCGACCAGACGCTCGTGGAGGCGGTAAACCCTGTTGGTAAAAAAAGACACAAATAAAGCGTAAGGCCATTGGAAGTGATGATGTCATATGATGATGTAAGCACTTGAGCTGGCCTTACAGTGGTAGACACCATCCAAACATCCAATGACGGACAATGGTGAGAACAAAGCCCAGTAGGCAGCTTTCTATACTAATTTATAGCACTTTGTACCCTTAAGATGGGTCCATTATTAGGCTAATATTCATTAAAGGAAAAGTATAAAGTCCTTGCGCTTCTGTGCATTGAATTCAACAATCCCATACCTGCGGTACATCTGCTCGCCCTGTGGATGGCGCCCGTCTTTAAGAGCTTGTACATCATTGAAAAGGACACGAATCATGGTGTCTGCCTTATCCAGATCTCTCTCAATGTCCCCGGCTCGCTGTGGTGCTTTCCCGGCATTTAGTAGGCGTATATTCTATAAAGGAAGGGATGAGAAACACACCAGATATTACAAAGTCACTCATTTTGTCTGCTGTCCTGGGTGCCATGACCCACACACGTCTTTAAAGTTCAACTAAATCCTCCTGTATGTCCAAACAAGTCCCAAATCCAGTTATACACAAGACTCATGTACTAACCCAAAACATCCTTCCTTTACCTTCCCTGACTGAGCCAATTCCTCCTCCATTTGTGTCTCACATGCTCCACCCCCCCTAAACACTGCAGCTCACAGTGGGAGGGTTTCAGCAGCAGAGGTGGTGCTGTCAATCTAGAATGCAGTGGGTGGGACTGGGTGTGCTTACTGACAAACTACAGGCCACACCCCCTACAATGTCTTCTCATCCCACTGTAATGCAAGCATGTGCAGCCTATATGAGAGTGACAATGCTGCTCTCAATTCAGGAGCAGTGCAGCATTGTTGCCACCCCATTACAGGAAGATGCAATAGGAGGACTTCACTGTAAGGATCAACAGGTATTTGTGGAAATTTGCAGGGGGACTAAGAGACCTAAAATTTAGGTGGTGCTGCGCATATTTTTGTTTTAATGGCAGCCATATTGCTGCAGCACAGCATCAACTAGACAAGAATAACATCTACTTAACATAGAGAGAGGGGCGGAAAAACAGAGGGCCAAGGAGGCAGGCTTGGAGTTGGGTCATCAGGGGCTGGCTGTCTAAACCCAAAGTAGACAGCCAGCTCCTGATGTCCAAATAGAGGAATATGGCGGCACAGGACCTGGGTATGGCATGGG